TGACAGAGCAACGAAACTATCAGATCAGCAGTTTCACGCCAAGAACATCGAAAAAGTGCGAAACCTCTTGAGAGACAACGATTATCCATCAGCCTTCGTCAATCGACATGTTTTCAAAAGAATGTGGACCCTCAAGCATTTCAAACCTGACTCGCACACAATCGGACCCAATCCGACATGCAAGGCAATTTTAAAACTACCACACATTGACCACTTCTACGACAAATGTGCCAACATGCTAAGAAAATACAACATCAAGGTCATTCCGACTAAAAGCGAATCACTCACTTCGCTCATTACACTAGGAAAAGACAGGATCGACAAGCTCGAAAAAACAGGAGTGGTATACCATTTGAAATGCATGAATTGCACCAAAAGCTACGTGGGCCAAACAAAAAGGAAGCTAAAAATTCGCATGAACGAACACAAGAACGCAGACAGCGAGAAATCAGCAGTCGCAGCGCATACCGCCAAAAAAGAAGGCCACGACATGGACTGGGCAAACGTACAAATTTTAGACCAAGAGCCGAACTACCAACGTAGAACCATATCAGAAATGATTTTTATCAACGACACGCCTAACACACTAAACAAAAAAGAAGACCTTAAAGATTTAAATAATCTTTATTTTAACATCTTGAAATATATTAAGTAATCTGTAACGACTTTATACACACTCGACGCCTCAGTTTTATATTGTTTACCATTGATTGCTTATTTTTATTATTATTGTTATTGACATCACGGCAACTGCCTATATGTAATATCGATAGTCACATACACAACAGTCCTGAAGAGGCCGACAAAGTGGTCGGCGAAACGTCGACTAGGTGACGAGGTAGCGTGCGATTACGCACTCTCGTCCACCGTCTGTTTTAATAAATTTGACTTTGGCACCGCCTTTATAGCCGTTTTATTTATATTGACATATACATTCTATATACGTGGTATATACCTTGTGGAAACCTATTTTATATTTCTTGCTTTCTCAAAAATGCTTACAAAACCCTGACTATACCGAGCGAGCGTGAGCGAGCGAGGTAATTCGCTAGTTATGCATTATTCTATGTTATGCATGCATCTGTCTATTTTATGTTATGCATTTTAAGTGTAATATTTCAAATACAATCAATGAGTGTGTGCTGTACGCACTTTCGAACGTTAATTCCCCCCTCGCCCTAAGTTCCAAATATGAGACATGACTTTTCTTAAATACGAGATCAAGCTGAATCTCGTGGTATGTTTCTTTTGGGGGCTAGCCAGGCAAAATTTTGAGATATTTCAATCCAAAGTTGGAAGTTTTTAAGTTCCCGTAACAAGGGCTCTTATGGCAGATGGCGTCCATTTTATTTTCGAAGCATGATTCTTGACAGAAAATGAGAAGTTCCACATATACGACTATAATGGGTTGAAAGAGAAAGTCTTTCTCATGATACCTTCCAACATATGGGTAGCCAGGTGAAAAATTGAGATATTGTAGAGAATAAAAAAAAATCGAGCATGAATCTAACGTAAACGTAGGATCCCGTCACGCCGTCATGTTTATTTACGAGTGTGTAAGACCGCGTGGAATTCAAACATGCGAATTACGAAATAAAATAGATTAAGCAAATAAAATAAATGAAACTAACTGAATGTGAGGGAGGAACTTTTTATGTAACTTTCTTACATGATACAATCACAAATAGCATGCAGAGCAATTGTAAATATATTAACTGTTATGTATACATAATAACTCGCTGGCTGCCGCAGCCTCCCGGGTTCCCCTGTAATAACTTTTGTTTAGCTTTTTATATTTATTTATTCACGACCTAGGAAAACCGGCCGGATACCGATACGATACGAATATAATACGAATCATAAAAATGAAAACCGGACAAAGCGCGTCATATTTTTATGAGCAGTCAGCAGACCAACGCAGCCGTGGGACAGAAGCTCTCGAGTTTCGGCTGCCACCACAAAGGAACTACGCAGAAAGCTAAAACAAAGGCCAAGAAAAGCTGACGAGGAACACGTGCAGCAATCAGACCCACGGAATCGAAGTGAGGGAACTAAAACTTCAAGACTTCGTTACACGGCGAAGTCAGTTCTCTCGCGTCCCTCGACCGGCGAACAAGTGATCGCACCTCTGTAGTCTGAGTATTGCACCGTTGCAATCACTCCTAATATTCAATTAAAGCATTAAATTGCACCTTTGCAATTATTCCTAATCATTCGATTCGCACAATGTACCTTTATTGCTATATTATAAGCTCAATTTAAACAGTGCACTTTTGACCCCTATCTCATAACACCAACTCAAACAGTGCACCTTTGTGCTATTAACCAGTAAAAACCAACCTACACCTCTAACCGGATTACAATCAACCGTTCCACGAATAAAAGGCAATTCATTTTCTAAGAAAAAGAACAGAGTGAGTAACACCTTTTTTTTTGCTACCTCTTCCCTTCTTTCCGCCTTCCTCTAGTAAACCTAAATACATTAAATATTAAAATATACATATCTATATCTATTATTACGTGCGGGCCACAACGCCCAGCGATGAGTTGTCAGCTCATCGGTCGTTACTTCCAAAATGCAGAAATTCGGCTGCTCGACCCTCACGTTCATTCGTGTATGTATGTGTGCCTGTGTGTGTCCCTTCGAGTAGCAACGGTCAGCGAAGCATCGTCGTCTCGCATGTAATGCGTTTGTCTGTGCAGCGTTTGTGTTTATGTTTGTCTGTGCAACGTTTGTGTTTATGTGTGCAGTGACGAAAACAGTACGATTTTAGAACTCGGTTTGAAAAGTTGCTATAGTGCCTAATGCTGTGCTCTCCGTAATCGTGTGTGAATATGTGTACGTGAGTGTGTTTTTGCATGCAGTGTGATAGAGTCGTGAGTTGATCGTGAGTATCTCGGAGCAGCCGCCGACTTCTCGCGCTGTGTTTGTGTTTGAATAGCAGGTCGCATTCAAACTGTCTGTTGAGCAGTATCGAGCTCGGACTCTGTGTGCTGTTTTAAGTGTGCAATAATGTGGCAGCCTACCGAGTTCAACATTTATAACTCGCTTTAAAATGTTGTCAGTGTCGTGTATAGTGTTAATGCTTAAGCCGTGTAAGGTAATTGCTCAGCATACTACGACAAGAAAAGTCGCTATCATGGTACAGGAAAAGTTAGTTTTCTTGTGACAAGAAGAGTGAGTTTTCTTGCCACAAGAAGATCGATTTCTTGTCACAAGAAAACTGTTTTCATGTCACATGATGTTGACTTTTCCGGTACCGGAATAATGATTTTGTTCAGTGTATCTGTAGGCGATATTACTCTAGCATATATGAAAATCCAAAGAAACATTCGAACCGAATTCTCCCAGCTGGGTAAGACAACTGTACGTGTTGGTTTTTCAAACACTGGATACATATTTTTCAAGCCTAAAGGAGGGAACTTCCATGAGAGCAGACATGTTCGATTCAACGAAATATTAGTGTTCGGTGATAGATATGAAAGAAAAGACGTGCCTGATTGGAGAAATCCAATGATCGAAATTGATAAAAAAAGTTGGTATGTGCAATTTGACGAGATGACATCAGAGTCATGAGAAACTTAGGGAGAGAAGCAACAAACGGACAATACTCGTGAGATTTGTTCGCACTTGTGACTCGAAGCTGTAGGCGATGATAAGCAACATATCGACTCAGATTTTAACCCATTAACGCGCAAAAGTGCAATTTTGAGCATGAATTTTCCCATTTTGACACATAAAGTTGTGCACAATTTTTCTTAATTCTGCCCCGCTCAAGTGTATGACAGTACTTTTTTGAAAATTTTGACACCCCATAGATGAATATTTTCTCTTTTCAAGATCATTCGGTAAGTGATTTATAACACAATATTTAGTATTATAAAAGAAGTGATCTAATTGGTTGTCCAGAGCTTGGGTATAAGTTTTTTTGGTCAATTAGGTGTAGAATTAACATATTTTAATAAGGTAAAACAGGTATTAGTGGGACACTGTGCAAGCATCGGAGTGATTCTCACTGCGCGGCGAGAGATGGCGTCACGCCTCGGCACGTGCCAACGGCATCTCTGCTATTTGCGCATTGTTCGCTATCTCATCCTTCTCGTTTCTGCACTCATCCAATCTACACCTCGCGTGTGTCTCGTGCATCGACCTGTTACAACTGCGAATAAATCCCCGATGTCATCTCAACAAAAGCTACATCGAGCATCACCATCTTGGGCAATTTCATCAACTCGACCGCTCCAGATCGTCTCAACAAGCGCAAGCCAATCAACAAGGACGTTTCGGCAAGCTCTGTTCTTCGACGTACTCATCGAAATGCAACTCATCGGTCAGCGAATCGGAATCAACTCATCGATTGCGACCAGGTAAAGAAACCATCCAGACTGCAAATGAAGACCAATAATGTCTACTGCAGGCCTGGTGGGATCTCTTGGCACTATTTTGGTGCATCTCAATTGCACGAGCACACGACGAGAAAAAGTGAGGTTACACGTTGCCATGTGCAATCTCACGTGATCTCGGTCAACTCATCCGGCTGCTCACACATGCAAACGAGAGGATTAATATAACCTCATTCGTTGTGCTCGAACATCTCACAAATCAAGTTCAACTCGCTGTGAACTCAAGAGAAGCGTTGCACATCTCAATTGCTACAACTCACAGCAAATAAGAGTGGATTTGTACAATCTTACTTCGCGTTGACTGCTCAATTTATCTGTATAACTATTGACAACTCAAGTGTAAAATCAATTATAATATCAGTGCACTCAACTATTTTATAATTGTTATTAACGTTTTAAATCAATTGACTCAATTTTGAACTATTTAAGAGTGATTTAAGTGATGAATAAAGAAAATTGTGAAAATAGAAATTCATGTGAATTATGCAGTGTTTTCTTTTGAAACCCGATCATGCACCCATCCAAATTATTATTTATTATTTAAACAATTCCTGAGCACCAGCTATGTTCAGGAAAAATTTGACGACATAAAACTCAAAAATATAAAAGAAATTCGATAATTGACACGAAGAAAATTGGTAGTAGTAGGACAAGACTAACTCGATGCCTGGTATAGTAGGACAGTTGAAAAGCAATAGTAGGACACATTAAAGACGCGTGATTTCATATTGAATCCAAGTATTTAAACAATAAATGAATAATTGATTATTAATTATTCATTATTTAATTATTTTATATTCTTACATGGAAAAATTATTTTAAAAAATTACTTTATTAATCTTCGCATAAAATTACACTGTAGATATTAATATTAAAATATAAATCCAGAATTGAGTCTTCCATGAAGTCCCTGTAACCATGGTATGAAACATTTCTCAATATAATAATAAAAGGTTTCTGATGTCATCCACCCAGATTCTGAATTGCCAACTGGCCAGCCAGAAGGAACCTTGATAAATGGAGCATGCGTCCATCTTCACATACAGTGAACAATATAGTGAGGCTTTCCTTTCCATCACTGGAAAAATTATTAGATGCTCCTTTTTTGGTAATGACGTTATTATCCTTGGGTACCAAAGCAAATGCAGATTCGTCCAGATTAAATACTCTGCTGGCATCAATTTTTAACAAATTTTTTGTTTTCAATGATTCACTTACATGTTTGAACCATCCCCTCAAGTCCTCTTCTGTAAAACTACATCTTGTAGTTGTCAAGTTTTGGCCAATGCATTCAAATAACTTCTTGTGATGACCCAAAAACGCTTTGAACCACTCTGTGCCAGGCCCTGTTATCTTTGAATTTTGTGACTTTTTTATATCATTTAGGTACATCTGTATGTTATCTTGAAGAGTGTATGTTGACACAGAAAATCCTTTTTTTATCACAGCGTGCGGGAAATAAAAACTTCGCGCAATTCGTGATAAAAAATAGTATACGTCACTCGTGTGTGTGGGGCTTCTCGCCCACTTCGTGCACGAGTGATGTAATGTACTATTCTGCACTCTCCAAAATCCATGAAACAATGTTATCTTCTTCTTATTTTGTCAGTTAAGGAGCATGTCCTTTTTTTCACTCAATGGGCGAATGGTGATTGAATTTCGCATGAAGTGTTGTTTTGGGTATTCCATAGTGATGATTAGCTTCTCTGTATGTTACGCCATGTTTCCAATTTAATTTAAAGCTGCCTTTAGAGCATCTGTAGTGTACATTCTTCCTTTCACCCTTCTAACTGTTCTTTTTCCACCCACATTGAGAGAAGTTTTTGAATTTTTTCTTTTTCGATCAGTTACCTTCATTGTTTATTCACAGGTACTGTAAAAATGCAGTGCAAAAATAATGAGTACTTTATTTACAATAAATATTTTAGATTAAGAACATTAAATTTGTATAATAAGCTAAGGATTTTATGATCAGTAATTACTAATTATCATTCGTATAGATGAATAATATAAGCTTACCTAGGTAGCGACCACTGGCTCAATTTCAGGTTATACAGGGCGAATTTGATTTAAAGAGCAATTTCGATGACAATTAAACTTAATCACACTCTCTGCAACACTACTACCTACAACACTCGTAGTAGGACAGCGCTCCTACCGCGTTCTATAGTTATAAAAATTCCTTTAAACCGAGAACGCTAACTAGGACACGTGATTTTAATGAAAAAAAAGTTATTTTAATAAAATATTATATGTAAATTATATACATAGAAGCAGTATAATTAAGTACGGATCATTTTTTTGTACAGTTTACAGAAGAAATTTTTGATTTTTAGAGGATTTTTGTATCAGCAAATTTGTAAAAAAATGTACGATTTCAACAGCCTCGCAGCGACAATCAGATAACCATTTACAATAACATATATTTTAATGGCAAAATGATAGCTATTAATATGAAATCTTTACAGTATGTTTAAGAACGCTCAAGGAATATATTTTTTAAAGAATTATTCATATTTTATTTTGTAATTTTGTATTATTATATTTCATTCACACTTGTACTACTAATACATCAATTTTTCACGTGGGGGGGGGGAGGGGGGGGGAGGCTATGCAACGATCGTAATTTCACCCGTTGATCCACGAGCGCGAAATCAGCGCGGCACGTGACGAAAAAATTTGTGTCTCGTCGACAGCGTGAAAGGAAAAAATCACATGCGCGCGATGAGACGCAGTGGAGTTGAGAGGAGTCTGTTTGATCCCAGCTAGCAGCCGAAGCTACTTGATTGACCCTGCCTGGCGAGCCGAAGTGGCTTATTTGTAAGTAAGACATACGTCCCGAACGCGACGAGGAAGGTTTAATTCCATTTTGGAGCCACCGACCCAGCGTGCGTCGAATGGTACCGTGCCAGTGCGACCGGACGTATAATATCATCATTAAATGCAGGTTTCACGATTGGCGTGTGTGTTGATGATCGATAAATCACTGATTCAATAAAAACAAGAAGTATTCTTTTTGAGAAAAGTAAAATATAAATCATTGCATATGGGATTGATCGCCATGAACCTAAAGTCAAAAATATTGTATTTACACTATTCAATAGTCGTTGGTTTGGAAACTTCATGTTTTATTTCATTAATATCAAAGTAGAGTTCTTACATTCAATTTGGTCGCTCAATATTTTAATCGCTAGATTACACTGTTGGGAAAGCATTCTATTTATTTTACGTTAAATTAAGAATGAAACAAACCATTCGCATTATTTACCTTTGATTCACCCTTAAGATTATAAGCAGACTAACTGAATGTAGAATGACCTTAAAATATTCTACACTTCGCAGTTTATCAAAACAATCACAATCGATTAAAGCGACTATAAAGTCCAAAACATAATCATTAAAATATTTTAAAATGTTTACAAAATGTATTATAAATGAAACAACGTTTCAAATTTATGTTAACAGAATGATGAAAAAAAATAATCAAATTCTGAACTCTACTAATATGTTTTTAAAAATATGAATTTTTAGTCTCAAGTTTGTCACAGCTTTAAGTATTGAAATAGTGAAATTATGAAAATTAAAAAACGGCTTGGAATTATTATTGTATTTTGTTTAATTATTTTGGTTCATTTAGTATCAAATGATTTAGTAAAATTTATTAAAAATAAATTCAATTATTTCTCCAATGATGACATTTCTTGTTACCGAATACCTGCAATTGCAGAAAGCAATTTTCCAATTTTTGATTCTGCTTCAGGTAAGTTGTCATATTTGATACCTTTATCTTACTTGCTGCACTATCAGATCTCCGTGTTCTATACATGTTATAAATAATAAGATATTCTAAAATATTCACATTATATTCTGAACTTCGATTGAATTAATAAACCTCTGCTAATTCATAGGTAAAGAGTTTCCTCGTGAAAAAATTATCATTCCTATTTTATTAATAATTGCTATTAAAGCAATATTTCAAACTTAAACCCTTTGCGAGAAAAACTGCAATATCTAAAAAATGAAGATAAAAACAACATTTTTCTTTCCGTGTCAAAAAAATTATCCAAATTGATGTTTTTTAAGTGAAATGTAATAATATTGATGTTGATGATTTTTAACTTGTTTCTATTCTCAATGGCTTTATACAATAACATTGACTAAAAACCGTGGACCTTTTCATTTCATTCCAGACAATCAACTAACGAAAAAGATGCGAAAAAATAAGTTTTGGTCAAAATTCAAATTTTTTCATTTTCACAGTTACACAGGGGATATCTATTAATTTTTTTTTGCGCAATATGCGAAAGCTTGTGATAATTTTTGATAGAGTAATTACAAAATTTTCATAAAAATACTGATTGCAATAATGCAAGACACAAAATAATTTCAATAATTTTTAATTTACTGTAGGAAAAAACATATTTTTTCATGAGACTTCTTGTGTGACTAAAAGTGGAACATTCAATATTAATTGTCGGCAAGCATGTGCAATCGAATCTGCAGCTTATTCTAATGCAGAAATGTCAGTAATTTTGTTATATATAAACCCGTTCAAGTTATCAAATCATTCTCTGAATCTCATTAGTAAACTTTTAAAATACTATCCAAATATTCAAGTGAGACGAATACTCGTTGAAGAATATATGAAATATACTCCAATTGAAAAATGGTTTGCAAGTGGAATACTTCAATCCAGCCGTTGGCCAAATAGTCACATGTCAGATATATTACGATATCTTACTCTTTGGAAATTTGGTGGAATATATCTTGACCTTGATGTCGTGGTAACTACGTAAGTAACTATTTACACACCAGTATAGTTGTATATTTGAAAATATAATACTATGATTACCGAAATAAAATATTATTTATGTTTTCTCTCGTTTTAATATTAAATAGAATTTTTTTTCTCAGAACATTGGTTTATTGTTTCGATTTACAGGAAGCTCTATGATAAGCTTCAAAAATAATTTTAAACCAGACATCATAAGAAAATTTCATTTACACTTAAAATACACTAGCCAGACTTACAACGCTTTTCACGAGCACTCTTCTTTCTTATCCCATTTGCCATTTTTTAATACATATTCAAAATAGAAAAATTAATTACACGGACATTATGATATAAACTGCAAAAATACGCAATGGGTCGGCTTCAGAGCCCCTCGAGGAAACCAATCAAAATTAGCCTTAACTCGTCGATTTTACGAGTGCAACGCGAAGTATACTAGGTTATTAAATGATTTTCAAATAACTTTATCAGATTGTAAAAAGGAATCGGGAAAGCCTCACGACTAATGGTATGGTAAATAGCCAAAAATAACTCCATTCAAGCCATTCTTTTCGTAACTATCTAGAGATGATAATCTGGCTACTCTAGCTGCCACTGATCTGGAACGAACGATTCACTTTGACTCGACTTAAGTAGTAATAATTTAATTCGTTTATAACAAAAGCCACAAACTTGCACAAAGCAGAATCAGCCTTTCTTAAGGCTAAAAAAATTTTCAAATAGGTGTACTAAATTTATAATACAAAACATAATTGTAAATGGTCCTTTTCAGAATAAAATAAAAAAGAGATCTATTTTGTTCAATTAATTATAAGTTTAGAATAGTAAAATGCTTTATTGCATTAGAATTAAATGTAAAAATGTCATAATTAAATTTTTAAGAAAAATTTTGATTAAAATTTAACTATTGCCGTTATACTGCCTATGCATCGTTCTACTATTTTTAGGCTAATGAGAATAAATTAATGATGAATGATTGTATTGTATAGTAATGAATCCAATCCTTTTTTTATAGTTCTCTTGTTAATTTAACTAATTTTGCTGGAGCTGAAGATTGGATGGACGTAGCTGCGGGAGTTATTAGTTTCAGTGAAAATGGACTTGGAAGAAGAATAGCTAATGGTTGCTTACGTGATCTTATGCGCAATTTTAGAGGAGACCTTTGGGGAAACAATGGACCAGGAGTCATTACGAGAACTCTACAAAAATTTTGTTCTGTAAAATATGTAAGTGTTGAAAAAAAACTTAACAATCAAAAGTAATAAATAGAAATGGGGGAGATGATATTAACCCATTAACACTGGAAGGACATGATTTTGACATTCAACTTATCGCTCTTACAATGTCTCGATGATTGTAACTTCTCCATGTTGATAATTGATTAATCTAAAAATATTTTTCGAGAAAGCTTCATGAATTTTTCTACATCTACCAGGATTCTATAAAAAATACTCGTGGATTGATCGAAAATCTGCATAAATTTTTTGTCTATGTATGATCCACGTGGAATCGTTCTGATAATCTACGCAGATATCCATGCAATCAATGTGAAGAAGTTGAAATCCACGACGATTTTTAAACGATAAACAATTTTTCATGAAACATCCACATCATTTATAATTTAAATTAATTTTGATTTTTCACTATGACTATTCATACATACATTAATAAATTATAATGATCATTTTTGATTTCAGGCGAAAGACATGACATCCAAAAGATGCAATGGTTTCAAAGTATTTCCTCCATCAGTATTTTATCCAATTTTTTACAAAGATTGGCGTCGCTACTTTCAAACGGAAGATTTCAATGCAACTATGAAATTAATTAATAGTGCTCGTGCGATTCATCTTTGGAATAAACTCAGTTTTGCAGAAAAAGTATATCATAACAGTAAAGTGCCTTACGCAATAATCGCAGAAAAATATTGTCCTCATACATTTAACGAATGTACCCCAGTTTTCTAAAAAACAATATCAAATTTGATAAATTCAAGATATTTTAAAAATGATAAAATGAACTTTACTCAAAAATATATTTTATTCGATAACTTTATTCCTGAATTAATCTTCATGGAAAAAGAAGGCAGAGAGGTAAGAGAGAAAAAGAAGAAAAGGGCACAGAAGAAAAGTTGTAAAAAAATGCATAAAAAATATATTAAATGGCGAATTTGGGTCGTGAGGAAGAGTGGACGGGGAGGGGAGGTAGAAAAAAGGCGTTGAAAGTGTTTTTTTTTCCTCAAGACTGTATACTGTGACAAGCGCGTTACACTCGTCATATCTCTCTGGGAAAAATCATATGATGTTTTGGCATGATTTATTATATGATTTTTTATATGATTGATCATATGATTTTTCCGAGCAAAGGAGGCAAACCCATATTTTAATTTGAAAACCAGTAGAAGGAAGTGCCAAAATATAAGTTAAAGTCTGAATTTATTAATCTCATTGAAAATGAAGAAACTACTTTTGAAAATAGAATGAATAATAAAACTGCCGAACTGTTGAATCATCAAACTGCCTGAATTTGTACCGTTTTGTAAACGATTAGCATCGATATTTTCTTGATGGTAAGATAACATTGTTATATCTGAATTTCCGTGCCTGCTACTTTTATAATTCACTTCATACTCTTTTAAATTATTCAAATTGTTGTGCTCTGAATGTACATTTTTTTAGCTATTTTCAAAAGTAGTTTCTTCATTTTCAATAACATTAATAAATTCAGACTTTATATTTTGGCACTTCCTTCTAATGGTTTTTATATTAAAAATAAGGGTTTGCTTCCCTTGCTGGGAAAAATCATATGATAAATCATATAAAAAATCATATGATTAATCATGCCAAAACATCATATGATTTTTCCCATGATTTTTTTCAGCAGGGTGCAGCGATGCAGGACGGAGGGCCTTGCCCCTGTCCCACCTGAATTGACTCAAGTGCTAAATTTAAACTAAACTCGGCTATACCAAAAATTGCGCGATGGAACATCCATCTATGTTTGCTAAATGTGCTGTACCATCTGTACATTAGGGTGTCCGTTATTTCCCGACTTTTTTGTATTGCTTCACCCCCCACCTAGATGTCTTCTATTTGATAAGACAATGAGAAAATCGGGTTATAGAGTTAGAAAAAATGATTTTAAGGTGGCCCCCAAGCGGCTTGAAGCTTACATGTATTTTAAATGGGAAAAACTTAAAAATTTGATTCTCAGCGTTAAAAATAATGAAAAAATTTGAAATAATTCGCAAACCCATGTATTTTATGCATTTTTTGACGAAGAATCGATTGGTGACCTTGAATTTGATCTTGAACATAACCTCAAAGCTACAGCGAACAAAATATTGAGAAAAATCGTTTTTTTTGCGGTAACCCCCACTTTTTATTGCAGATTCGAAAAGAGCGGAAAATTTAAAGTCAAATTATGTCTTTTGATTTTTTTTCAAGGGCATTATAAAGATGCTACAGATACAAATAAAACCCTAATTTTAGCGTGCAATTTTCGAGTTTTTACTAGTTAGGGCTTTATCTATATCTGCAGCGCCTTTTGAATACCCTTGAAAAAAAATCGAAAGACATAATCAGACATGAAATTTTCCGCTCTTTTCGAATCTGCAATAAAAAATGGGGGTCACTGTGAAAAAAACGATTTTTGGTTCTCTGTAGCTTTGAGGTTATGTTCAAGGTCAAATTCAAGGTCACCAATCGATTCCTCGTCAAAAAATACATAAAATACATGGGTTGCTGAATTTTTTCAAATTTTTTCATCATTTTTATCGCTGAGAATCAAATTTTTAAGTTTTTCCCATTTAAAATACATGTAAGCTTCAAGCCGCTTGGGGGACACCTTAAAATCATTTTTTCGAACTCTATAACCCGGCTTTCTCATTGTCTTATCAAATAGAAGACATCTAGGTGGGGGGAGAAGCAATACAAAAAAGTCGGGAAATAACGGACACCCTACTGTACATAGAATGTTTTCTGTTTCACATTATTATTAGTAACTGTACTAGGGGTGTGCGAGTACCCGAAAAAACTCGACCCGATCGGGTCGAGTTTTTTATTCGAGTTCGAGTCGAGTACCCGAATTTTCGGGTACCCGAGTTATTTTCGGGTACTCGAGTTATTTTCGGGTACCCGAGTTTTTTCGGGTAAATTGCTAACTAAAAAAATAAATTGCTAACTCGTTATAAAAGTACTTGGATTTGAGAAAATAGAACTAACTTATGATTATAGCTAGAAAATTTTCTCAAATTTCGAATAATGAGGTCAGATTTTCCAAACTTTTTCGTTTACTTGATTTTGGACTCACAATTCTATTTTGATTAAATGTAATTTACATAAAAATGTGTTCTACTTAACTACATAAATAAAAGGGTATAACTAATTCGTTTAAGTTTTGAAATGTGCTAGTTTCCTTTTGGCTTTTTGAAATATCGTATTTTTCATTTGTCTTCTTAACCCATTAAGGCCTAAAGTTACGAAATTTTTTGTTTGAAATCGAGGCAATTTTTTCCAATGTTTTGCACCTAAAACAGACTTTGCGCATACCTATTTTTATGTAAAATTTCATGTCCTTTCGGAATCCGGGCGCAAATTTGAGATTTAATGCTTCGAAAAAAGTCATGATTGTTGAAACAAAAAAAAAAACGTAAACTTTTGCGAAAAAAATCATCTTTGAACATTTTTATCGACCTATTGCAGTGAAAAACTCGAGATACAAATATGATCAAAGGTGATCATAGGTGTAGAAGTACCTTAGGGAATTTCACAAATTTTTCCAACCACTTTTTCTGACAAAATGGTGGCCATGAATTATGGTGTTTATAAAAATCCAAACTCAATATTCATCTCGAAAACCATTAAGTTTATAAAAAAGTTTATAAAACAAAAATATTTTAGAATTGATCAGGGAACATTCTCGAACAATTTTAGAATTTTTGGAGCGCGATTTTTCGATTTCTGGAAAATTCGTTAAGTAAAATTTTCCAAAATCATCTCAAAAAATTCTGAAAAAAATTTGAGAATTTTTCTTGATCAACTCTAAGTTTGTTTTTTTCTATAAAATTTTTCTCTAAAGTCAATGGTTTTCCAGTAATAGATCATATATTCTCATCTAATTATGCATTTTCTTGCATAATCTTATGCATGAACAGTTTACTTCGTGGTCATTATTTTGTTAGAAAAAGTGGTTGGAAAAATTTGAAAAAATTCCTTAAGGTACTTTCATAACCATGATCACCTTTGATATTTATATCTTGAGTTCTTTACCGCAACAGGTCGAAAATAAAGATCAAAGTTGATTTTTCGCACAAAATTTTACGTATTTTTTTTGTTTAAACAATCATGACTTTGTGACGGTCGACTCCCCGTGTCCACCGTACACAAGGCGTTCTCGCTGCCTGGCCGACTTTGTCGGTAACCGACGCGCCAGACAAGCGACAGCTTGTCGTCGGCCAGGGTCCGGCTAGCTCGATAAGGGACGGGAAAGGGCGCGAAATACTACCTCTGGGTCGTGGGTACGACTCTCCTCCTGGAGGGGACGTCGACAGGTATGGAGCGGGGCCTCCGGTGACTGCAACACTGCACCTATGAAAACACCTGTAAACGAGAAAGTTCGCGAGAGAGAGAGGAAGGGAAAACGACGGGTCTTGTAAATAATACGACAGTGAATTTCAATTAAAACAAATACTCTTTTATTGAAGCTACTCTGAATACTCATTCACACAGGGCCGACGCTCTCACACTCCCAATCACACCTGGTCGCGGACGCGAGCTGCGTTGCCGTTTGGAGGGTCGGCGCGAGCGCGGTAATACCAGTAAACTACTCACGGTACTCCTTGCCCTCGAGGCTCGCGACCACACGGGTAGACTCCGCGTCGCCGGGGTCTTAGAAGTTCCTGCTGCTCTCTCCCTAGTCGCCTGTTGGCCACAGACGCGAGAAGGGACGGGCCGGATGGGTTGAAACTCGTTACGCTCGATGACGACTCTTGGTGCGCCGCACGGATCGCCAGCACTCACACTCGATTCGTGGCCACCAACTTCACAATCTCACCGATTCACGCCTTCAACTCACTCACACCCAACAGCACACTTCACTACTCACACACTCTACTACAAAAACTCTACAACACTCCGACAAAACTACTCAACAATGCTCGCGTACATAGAGCTCTGCTCTGCTCAGTGGTCCAACTACTAATCGTCACTCTCTGACTGCTCCAACTCAACTCTCGCGTCGTCTGCACACGTGCATGCGACGATCTTCACACCAAGTTCGCGACGTGTAATCGGGTACGGGCCGCTCGCGCGCAGTCACGTGGTACTGCACTCGCGAGAGGCCACAGTGGTACCGGCTACAATGGTCGCGACTCATGCACACATTCACACAAAAACCTCACATCAGACGCGTTTATGACGCGTCGCTTGCGTGCTCCGACGTTCGCCTATAGCGCAACGTCACAACTTTTTTTCGAAGCATCAAATCTCAAATTTGAGCCCGGTTTCTGAAAAGGCATTTAATTTTACATGTAAATAGGAACGCGCGAAGTCTTTTCAAGGTCCAAAACATAGAAAAAAATTGCCTTGATATCAAACGGAAAATTTCGTCACTTTAGGCGTTAATGGGTTAAAATTGAAATTTTGCTTTAAATGGTAGTTTTCATTATTGAATTGAAACGTACTAGTGTTCCTCAACAGTGTTATCAGAGAATATTAAAGAGAATAAACCTAATTATAACAATGTCTCAATATTTAAATAAAGCTTTAAGGTGGTCTGTACCCCACATTTTTAACCTACAAAGTCGAAAAATTTGTTTAATTTATATATATTTTTCTAAATCGAAAATCGAAAAACGGCTCTATGGGAACCTTCATTTTATTGCTATGAATAGCTGGTAAAAATTTGAGTTAATTCCACCGACCAGATTTGCCGGAAAACGTGTTTGAAAATTTCAAGCCGAAGAAAAGGGTGCAAATTTCAAACACGTTTTCCGGGAAATCTGGTCGGTAGAATGAGCTACAATTTTTACCAGCTATTGAGAGCAACCAAATTAATGTTCCCTCAGAGCCGTTTTTCAATATTCGATTTAGAAAAAAATATATAAATAAAACAAGTTTTTCGGCTCTGTGGGGTACAGACCACCTTAACAAAACTCTAAGAAAACACGATTAAAAGAGCTCAAATACTCGAAAAAACTCAGGTACCCAAAAAAAACTCGGGTACCCGAAAGTTTTTGGGTACTCGAATTTTCCCGAGTCGAGTAAAACCCGAAAAATCGGGTACTCGCACACCCCTAAACTGTACTACTACTGTCTGTTTGAACTGCCGTTGGGCCTCATGTGGTTATACCTCAAGGCCCCAATAAACCTTAATCAATCAATCAATCAATCAATCAATCAATCTCTCTTTCCACTTATTGTCATCTATACCAAACAAGATTTTTTAGCACGGCCGGGCATAAGTTCAAATTTATGGCACGCTTTTCGGTGGCAAAGTTCACACTTGCTAACCTCACTCCGCGTCACAAGAAATTGTGACTTATGACTCGAAAAAGAGGGCATAAATGTGAACTTAGCACTGGTGCGATAATAGTATATTATGATACGAGAGACTTACGCAGGCCATTAGTACACGGCGCGGTTAGCGCCCGGGCGTAGCGAGAGTGCTAGTGTCATACTGTTCAGAATGGGTATTCAGAAACATCGTATGCGTGCATAATTGACATGCACCATCGTGTACATGTGCGTGTCAAGTTGTATCGCGGCGCCTGTGTGTCGGTTACTTTGGTATCGTCAGCTGTTCACGTGTTGCACGTGTAACTCAAGCGTCACGGTTTAGGTTCCACACACGAAATCGAGTATGGAATTATGGAATAAATGAATTGAACTGGCGATACGAGACATGCAAAAAATAAATATTTATTGTCGAAATAATGGAGTTTAAGGGTTAACAGGGGGCTTAATTATTTATCATTTTTCAATTACAGTATTAGGCTGTAAAAGTAAAAAACATGTTTTTTTTCAATAACACAAATGATAGCTACTTGTACATATAGCAAAGTGAAATTAATTTATGGAAAATGATAAAAAATGAATACTAAATTCTAGAAAATTGTACACAGGAGTAGCTACAGTTCATTTTATGGCTAGCTTTTGGTTGCGACCATGGCCAATTGGCTATCGAACAAAATGAAACTACATAGGCTCCTTTAGCTGAATGCTCGATCTTGGATTTCTACGACAGGTAGCTTAGATATGCGTATAGCTTGCGTTGATGACCAATACCCTCATTATTATTGTACTCAATTGTTTCTAAGTATCTAACTTGACAAAATACTTTCAAATAGGCTATTGAAAAAAGTTATCATTTGTGTTATTGAAAAAAAACATGTTTTTTACTTTTACAGCCTAATACTGTAATTGAAAAATGATAAATAATTAAGCCCCCTGTTAGCCCTTAAAGTTGGTTTGGATGGTTGTTGTTGTTGTTGTTGGTTGGCTTGACTATGGCTCGTTCAATTACCGTAGACTCCAGAAATCAAAACTGCCGATGCTCCTTATTTCATCGGCACTAAGACGCGTATTTATAAAGGCATACTGGGGATTGAGGAGAGAAAGGTAAAACTCAAAGTTGACTCGTGGCGAATGAAACGAGTAACATTAGGTTTATTTCTTGATTCTTGTCGGTAAGTTCGTTACGTGAGTAGGCGCTCGCGATTCACTTGAAGATGGCCCAGACCCATTTTTGATAAGGTCACACTCCCTTCAAACCTTTCAAAATTCAGGAAAAGATTTTGCAAAAAAATAAAAAAAAAAAGAACATGAAAAATCTTAAAAACTATAAACATGTTAAACAGGTCGAGATAAAAATTTTTGGGACTTTATCCTTTACATAATTAACAATAAATGCAATTTATTTCAAAGGATTTACTGTTCCGTTTTCGAGAAAACTCATTTCACATTCATTCAGACATCAGTCATAAATTCTGTCTTTTACGAATATGTAGTTGGAATATACCAGACACGAAAATTGACAAAATTCGTACACAGAAGTATGTTACGTGCCTAGGAAGCGAAAAACTGGAAAGCCTCAGAACACCTGTAATTATCGGCCGAGGCTAAACCAAGGCTGATAAGCATGTGCTCTGAGGCTTTCTTTTTTCACTTCATAGGTGCGTATATACTATTTTCCATGAATCCCACAGCAGAAATTAACTTCTTTTTCGTTTAAGCCGCCAGGACGAAAAAGGTTAATTTCGGCTGGGATAGCATGAACATTTCTATTATTTTCGGAAAAGAAATTCCAAATAACTCTAGAAATCTTCAGAAAAGTAAGATTGGTTCACAAAACTCAAAAATGTCTAGGATTTTGTGTAGAGTTTTCCCCTGAATAGACACTTCGAATAGATAGATAATATATTTCTGAAAATATAATATAATTTTGAAATAGGTGGTGATAACATTTTCTATAAAAGATTACAACACTACAATTTTTATGATAATGCGTAAAGATAAAAATGATTGTAAGTTTAATAAAATTACTCTTTTTTATTAATATAAATAATGACGTTCATAATCTACTACATCTTGCGTTATAAAAATATACTCTTCTTTTATAATGGATACAGAAGAAGAATGTCGGAGTTCACTCAGTGATAATGGTGAAAAGTCATGTTTTTGTTTTTGTAACCGATATTTACCATGTACACTTTTTTTTTCTTTGCACTCTGTGGACTCACTTATTTTACGAATTTTGGTTTTTAGTTGACCAAACATTTGAGATTTCATTTTACCCTTATTTTTGAATATTTTTTTTATCGGTCCTGAAATTCTAAAAGCTGGATGTGGACAAGTTAATGTCGGAGAAGATTTTATAGTGGTATTGTTTAATTCACTAGCAAGTGATAGTTCATGGATAGAATCAGTATCTTGGTATAATTTTTTCAGCCTAGAGTTATGCCTTTCGTAATATTCAGCTTTTCTTTCTTTCGAATGATCGCCATAAAGTATCTTACTAAGTTGAGTTTTTCGATTGCTATTGTCTGAAGTATTTTTTACATTTTCTGTTGATCTTAATCGATGATGCAGCGTGCCGTTGTTTTTCTAAAATTGATAAATATAATATTGTGTTTATGAAATTATGGCCATCTTAATGGATAAAAGGGGGCTTAAATATTTTTAATTTTTCTACCTACAGTATTAGGCTGTAAAAGTGAAAAATAAGTAGATTTTCTCGGCTTCGCCTCGGCGTCATTATCACGTGCATGCAGAAGTTTCATTTCTCCCCCGTGTAAGCATAGTACTTTACGATACAAGTGCCATGAGCAACACTTTTTGGCACGGCGTAGTTTAGGGCCCGAGCGTAGCCAGGGTAACAAGTATCATACTAGTATTTTTCTTCATCCCCGTGCAAAAGTTTTGAAAGATCATAGAGAAATAATAAAAATTGTAATAATTGTATGCTTAATTTTTTGACGAGAGGAGTGCTTGGAATTTTCTTACTTTCACCGCAAGCTCGGCCACGGGTATAGCGCTTGTCATAAAATACATACAGTGGTTATCTTTATGCTACGATTTTTGTATGGAGTTGGCTCTATTTATCAACTATCGATGCGCGCCCCCAATGTTTGTATCACGTGATGGTGGTTAGGAGGGGGGGNGGGGGGGGGGGGGGGGGTGCGTATCAAGAAAATTTATATAAAATTAAGTAGTAAGTCATTCAAGCAACAAACTGGTAAATATTATGTTGCTAGGTCCAGCTGGCCATAACAATCTGTGCATCTGCCGAAATCGCAGAAGTGGGCAAAAGTGTTGCTTCTTCTAGCCTACGCGCGATGTGAAAGTAAACAATTTTGCCGGAGGGATGGAGAAACAATTTTTTTCGATGGTAGAAATAACAGCCTTTTTCTATACCCCATTCTCAAGTACTTTGACAATTTAGATCTATAAAAATACTTAAGGTGATGCCTTGGCCACAATTTTTACCGACCGAGCACAAAAAATATATATTTTCGTAACTTTTTTTTCAGGCTGATTTTCGAAAAACGGCTCTGTGGAGCCCTCCGTATTGATGCTGTGAACAACTGCACCAAATTTCAGCCAATTTCATCGGGTAGTTTTCCCGGAAAACAGGATCAAAATTTTTTATCCTGCAAACAGTAATCAAAAATTTTGATCCTGTTTTCTGGGAAAACTATTCGATGAAATTGGCTGAAATTTGGTGCAATTATTCACAGCTACAATACGGAGGGCTCCACAGAGCCGTTTTTCGAAAATCGGTCTAGTAAAAAAGTTATTTCAATATACATCTTCTGTGCTCGGTCGGTAAAAATTGTGGCCGAGGCATCACCTTAAATATATCTATATAAGGCTATAGACCTTCTTCATTAAGTATTTGACACATCTATCTTTCTAAACCTAAAAGAGTAACTTTCGAACCTCAATAGAGTAATCTATGCGAATTATTCTTTTAGAAAGAGTAAATAATGTAGATTAGACTTTTTTGGAAAGTGCTGAAAGAATAAAAGAGTAATTCATTCCAATTACTCTTTTTGGTAGAGATTACTTTGTGCATAAGAATATTTCGCACGTGAGTTACGCACGAGTGGTTTGTATGTTGTTGCAAAAAGGTGGGCACGTGTACTACGCATGCCATCATTCGTGTCTTTTTTGTCCAATAATAATTGACTAGTTACAAATAAATCGCCTCGTAACAATCATATAAAATGATGAAACTTATACAGAAAATTGTTCGAAATATATTATTCAAAAAATTTAGACACGCGTATATGAATAGTTTTTACCATATTGTTAATATAGATTTATAATATAGATATAAAAAATTACTCAATATAAGTTCCTTTAACATATTCGAGTATATATAATAAAATATTTTTTTTAATATTCAAAGATAGTAATCTGCGCGCAATATTTTTATGCTGGAAGTAATCCCTATAAAAAAAGTAATTGGAATGAATTACTATTTTCTCCACTCAGCATTTTTCGAAAGAGAGTAATCTACGTTATTTACTCTTTCTAAAAGAGTAATTCACACAGATTATTCTTTGAAGTTCTAACGTTCAAGGGAAAGGAGTCTTTTAAAAAGAGAAAATAACGCAGAATACTTTTTTGAGGTTCGAAAATTACTATTTTGGGTTTTGAATGTAAGCTACCTATTCTTTTTTTCAAAAAGATTATTAAAAGCAAGTATGTCAGTTTGGACCCTACAGTTAGAATTTTAAACTTACTTATGTTTACCTATGAACCTATGATTACCTATGATATTAATGAAATCAGAAAATTTTTGACAAGTACACAAGCAATTAAAAACTATTGTCGAAGACATTCAACAAACTAGTATTCTCATTCAAATGAATAAACTCATAATTGATATCCTAATTTAAATATATGTGATTGGATTCAAGTACAAACAAAAAACTTTAGTACTTACGTTTGAAATAATATAAACATTGAAAACGATTCTAACAATAACCATTATGAGTTTTTTCAAGTCTATTGATAATATTCATAAAAACTATGATAAAATTTCCATAAAAAATTCTGAATTGAATGATAAGTGGATGAAAGCACGCTAGTTAGCTATTAGAGTGGATCGAAAAACACATGTTTTTGAAAATCGCTTTGTAATAGTGTTCAAAGCTAATCTTTTGACATAAAATGAAAGTAAGCGAAAGCTGATACCTATCAATTGAGTATTTCCATTCTAACCAGCGAAAATGTTGTGTTTTTGACCCTTTTTCGCAATTCTCCGTCTCTTTACCGCACTTAGCGCAAATATTCTAATGATCGCTTTCCTAATTTTTATTCCCCTATTCGAAGGGATAAAAAATATGTTAAAGAACTCGAGTATATGTGTCAGGAGTCCAAATTTTGCTCTGGATATTCCCCCGGACGTATCTTAGGCCATTTTTCACGAATTTTTCTTTATTTTACTCTTTTCTTTAATTAGCTGCCAGCACGTCATTTTTTGACTAAATTGGATTCGGGAGCCACGAAACTCTTCGTTTTAAGTGTATTTTTTGAGAGGTTCATGCTGCGAGCGCCTAAGATGGTCTCAAAAAATTTTGCATGAGATAGCAATTGGCCATTTTTGAAGCTCATTTTATGCCTAAACGACGCATTTTATCATATACAGGATGGGGAATAAATATGGAAACCCCTGGAAATCTCGCAGAATAAGTTGGAAAAAAAAGAATACATGTTTCAACGTAAGATTTTCGGCTCTTTTCAAATCTGCAATTAAAATGGAGGTTTCGGTTTGAAAAATTGATTTTTGGGTCGCTGGAGCTTGAACGTCATGTTTAAGGTCAAATTTAAGGTCACCATTGGATTCCCCCAAAAAAAAAAAAAATACTTCGGATACGAGATTTTTGATTTTTATTTCCAACTTATTCTGCGGGATTTCCAGGAGCTTTCATATTTATTTTCCATCCTGTATATGATAAAATGCGTCGTTTAGGCATAAAATGAACTTCAAAAATGGCCAATTGCTATCTCGTGCAGAATTTTTTTAGATCATCTTAGGCACTCGCCGCATGAACCTCTCAAAAAATACACTTAAAACGAAGAGTTTCGTGGCTCCCGAATCCAATTTAGTCAAAAAATGACGTGCTGGCAGCTAATTAAAGAAAAGAGTAAAATGAAGAAAAATTCGTGAAAAAATGGCCTAAGATACGCCCGGGGGAATAGCCAGAGCAAAATTTGGACTCCTGACACATATACTCGGGTTCTTTAACATATTTTTTATCCCTTCGAATAGGGGAATAAAAATTAGGAAGGCGATCATTAGAATATTTGCGCTAAGTGCGGTAAAGAGACGGAGAATTGCGAAAAAGGGTCAAAAACACAACATTTTCGCTGGTTAGAATGGAAATACTCAATAGATAGGTATCAGCTTTCGCTTACTTTCATTTTATGTCAAAAGATTAGCTTTGAACACTATTACAAAGCGATTTTCAAAAACATGTGTTTTTCGATCCACTCTATTAGCTATAGTATATGAAAAAAAACCGTAATTCTATGACTTTACTTGCCCGGCCGTCTAGATGAAAAACGATGCGAACTATCCAAAGACATAATTTTTAAAAAAACACTGATAATTCAAAAATTATTATTTTATTAATATATATTTTTTTAAACTACAGAAAAATAATTTTTAAATAAATAACTACGATTGTTACATAATAATTTTGCAGCAGATATGTTGAAATGTTACTTTGAAAAAGCATTATTAATTGTTCCGAGATCTATCGAAGAAAAAAATGAATAAAATTAAGTAAAATACGAAAATAAATATGAATACTTCATAAATTGACATAATGTTTTAATCAAAAACTTCATTTTCATTTTGCATACATTAAATTTTTTCTATTGAAGTAGGTGTAATCGTTTTATATTTAATCTAGACGGCCGGGCAAGTAAAGTCATAGAATTACGGTTTTTTTTCATATACTATAGCTAACTAGCGTGCTCTCATCCACTTATCATTCAATTCAGAATTATTTATGGAAATTTTATCATAGTTTTTATGAATATTATCAATAGACTTGAAAAAACTCATAATGGTTATTGTTAGAATCGTTTTCAATGTTTATATTATTTCAAACGTAAGTACTAAATTTTTTTGTTTGTACTTGAATCCAATCACATATATTTAAATTAGGATATCAATTATGAGTTTATTCATTTGAATGAGAATACTAGTTTGTTGAATGTCTTCGACAATAGTTTTTAATTGCTTGTGTACTTGTCAAAAATTTTCTGATTTCATTAATATCATAGGTAATCATAGGTTCATAGGTAAACATAAGTAAGTTTAAAATTCTAACTGTAGGGTCCAAACTGACATACTTGCTTTTAATAATCTTTTTGAAAAAAAGAATTACCACTAAAGGATTATTTAAAATCTCAGTTGTTTCTAATTTTATATAATATCTTAGCTTGCTTGTGTACTTGTCAAAAAGTTTCTGATTTCATTAATATCATAGGTAATCATAGGTTTATATGATTATTCAATGGTCGCAAAGCGGAGAAAAGTCTGGAAAAATATTGCGCTTGTGCATTTCGACAGATTTTTGTCTTCTCTTTTCAATAGTGGTATCATCGAAATGCATAAGCGCAATATTTTTCCAGACCCACATGCACCAGACACGAGTAAAAAGTTAAAATATGGCCTGCGCCAGCACAGCTTCAATTTTATACAGTTCTTGGAATAATTATGTGTTTCCGATTTTTTTGATATTCACTAATTTTTTACCTTTGTTTCGAGCAGAAGCTTCAAAGCTTTGCAACTCATTTTCAAATTCAAATAATTTTTCTTCGGAACTCAGACTATACTTTGGTTGACTTTTGAATAGAACACTTTATTTTAATTTAATTTTTTAATTTTCTTGACGCCCGAGGTGATTTATGTACAGTAACATCGCAACTTTCTGGTCAAAGTCATCGCCGAGTTCGAATTTCGACCTAGTGCGTGAGCGGGTTACCGAGGACGATATTTGAGCGAAAACATCACGACTTTCCGAAGAAAGTCATCGTCAAGTCCGTATTCCGATCTTGTGCGTCGAGCGAGCCGCCCGGAATAATAGTCTCGCGGTAACATCGCCACTTCGCGGATAAAGTCATTGCCGAGTTCGGATCCCGAACTAGTGCGTCGAGCTGGCTACCCAGGACGATACTTGTGCAAAAACATCGCGACTTTCCGGAGATTGTCATCGCCGAGCCCGGATTTTGACCTAGTGCGCCGAGCGGGTTACGCGAAATGATATTTCCGCGGCAAAATCGCAGCTTCCTAGAGAAAGTCGTCGTCGATTTCGGACCGATATGAACCTGATGTTCCGAGCGGTCATTCTGCGGTAATATTTTTGCGTAAAACCTGTAATTGCGTGGAGAAAGTCATGTTCGAGTTTCGAGTTCGACCTGGTGCCCCGACCGGGTTACCCAGGATAATTGCGAGAATCTTGATGTCGAGAGAAAAATCTACATGTATCGTTTAAAACTCATACATATCAAATCGATGCGCAGCATCTATACATGGATACATTTAGCCTTATTAATCGATTAAATCGATGATATGAAGTTGGCCGGAAGACTACGTGAGACCGCGTGAGACCGCGTTTTGCGTGAGACCGTTTTTTCGTCGGGGATTTTTTCTTTTATCATTCGTATTTAGTTAATACTGCGTTTTTCGGAGACTATGAATGCACTATTTTCGGTCACTTTTTACAAGGAATCGATTTACCGAATCAGAATTACCGTATGTTTTATAGATTTCAAATAATAACGTTAGGTTGTTTTCGCGGGTCCCGAAATCGCAATTCTCGCGTATATAAGGAGCGTGGAGTGACGCTGCTCTCGCCTGTCATACTTGCCATTCGGAGCGCGACACGCGCTCCTCGATTGTAGAATACCAAGACTTTGCAAGACTCAATTTAGTTCTATGAGGTTTTTTCTGTTCGATAGGTGGTTGATCGCAACGAAAATCTAAGCATAAGATAAATTTCAACTACTTTTACATACAATTAAGTAAACTTTTATTTTGAAAATGATCAAAAAATAATAAAATGTTTATTCTATTATTAAATATTCAATTAAAAATTAAAAATATTTAAGCCCCCTTTTAGCCCTTAAAATTGAAAAACGTAAAAAAACATGAAAATATAAATGGAAGTAACAACGAGAAATTATTTTTTGTGCTACCCCAACCTAAAGTAACATTATACTCCCGCTGAGCAAACCAAAATGTTACTTTAGGCTGGGGGATTCACAAAAAATTGTATTTGCACCAATGTAGTGAAAAAAGAAATTTGCCTTGGCTGATAAATTACATGTGCTCTGAGACTTTTTAGTTTTTCACTCCCTAGGTGCATACTATTTTTGATCCCTCCGGCAAAAGTGTATTCTTTCGCCATTCGCGTAGGCTAGAAAAAGTAGCACTTTTGCTCACTCTCGCAGTTTCGGCAGATGCACGGGAGATGGCCAACTCGACCTAGCAACGTAATATTTATCATTTCATCGCTCCAATAACTCAGCCTACAACTCCACAAAACATTAATTTTAACAGAAAAATGGAAAGCTCCGAAATACTATACGTTGTTGATAGTATGTCTACGGACGAAGAAGTGGTTAACTTCAATGAGGAAATATAACTAGTTGTAGAAATCTAAACTTAATGAATAACTTAAAAAACCACTGCCAATTTATTGGCATAGAGCTTTCTCATAAAAAAATATGTTAATGAAAGGGTTTGTTTATTAAAGGAAACATTCGTATTTCATTTTTGAATTTTGAATTCCGTTTTCATTTTTGTATACAAAACTCCAAAAAAACTTAGAGATATCTAGAATTTCGTGTAAGATTCCCTTGCCTGCCGAAAAGACGAACATACATACAGACATTTGTTGGTAATTCAATGTAGTTTCCAATTCCAACGAGAATGAAAAAATTTATTTGATACAAATGTTCGCGATGCTTTCCCCCTCCCCCTCTAACCAGCTCGTCCAAAAATTAATGTATAAATTGATTAATATTCTTATTACTACTATTTTTTTCATAACTTTTGCACGGGAATGGAAAAATACTATTTCTTACACGAGTAAAATAAGAAACACCCGTTTATGCGTAATATGACGCCTTGGCGTGCTTATAAAAGTTTTATTTCTCCCTTTGTAAGAAAATTTACTATTTATCTAATTCCTTTTTTCAACCAGAATCCTAGATTACCTGAGCAAGTCTCCATCCTAAAATTAAATCATTCCTCAAGTTGTGTATAATTCCAATTGAAAGAAATAATTTTTAGACTCCCATGTTGTACCATTTTGTTTTTTGGAATCTTGGCTATAATCTTTTTGTTTAGATTAAATTGTCGTCAGGACAATCCGTGAAGCAAACTTTTAATCATTGGTGCTTACAAGTCAAGTATCCATTGCAAAGTTATTCGATTTTTAATCGCAAAAAGCCGAATGCCATTTTGCATTTCATTAATAACATCGCAAATTCTATTAAAAATGACAATATCAACAGCAATTACTTATTCGTGTAATAAACTATAATTAATATAATTGATTCATTAAAATTGAACAAAAAATAAAAATATATTCTATTTCATTATATACGCAAGTAATTAAAGTTGATTTTATGCTTTGCTTGAGACTGCGACTCTGGCAAATTGTCCATTGAACAAAATAAAACTATATCAAACTAAATTCATCCGATGACTAAGGATATAGGAGACTAGCTACTAGCTAGCTACAATAAGTAGCTTAAATGTATTGAATGCGTACAAGGTTAATATGTGTATAACAATGAATTTATTCTTTTTTAAGTATTAAACTGATTATCTCTAACGTACTTTTAAATTGGGTATTTGAAATGACTGTATTGCCGGTTGTTCAAAAAAAATTTTTCACTTTTCTAGCTGATTCTTGTAAATAGAAAAATTGAAAACATTTACGCTCCGCGTTGGCTCTTAAAGCGAAAAAGTTTGAAACTTAATAATTATATCCAAGTGAAAATTTAAAACTAATTATTGAGATTGAAAAAAAGTAATGGAATAAAAGAATTGACAAAAAAACTTTTAAAAAATGTAATCAAGGAATTTTTGCATTTTTAAACACTTTCAATTGAATTAAAATGATATCTCTTACATACATTGTAGGTTTGTACATTTCCTGGACTTAGACAACTCGACTCTGAAAAAAATGAATATATTTTAATTGTCTTGAGGAAATAAAAACTTAATTCATTAAGAGATAACAAATAATCAAACGTTTATAAATGCACATGTTTTGAGATAATGCTATGATCGCTATAAACAAAAAAATATATGTTGGTCAAAATAATACTTTTTTAAAATTATTATAATACTTCTAAACTAAGGGGGGGGCTGTCTAAGACGAGCAAGACAATAATCATCACTCATAGTATGAGTAACAGCACGGCTAACTGGTGCAGAAGTTGATTCTTGTCATTCCGAAGTCGATCAGCTCGATTTTACTTATTAGGCGACCATCTGTTAAGCGGGAACGTCGAATTTTAATAAAATTCGTTTGCTTTCGAACAGTAGCCCTGAGAAGGCTAAAAACCGAAAGGAGTTTAATAGTTTACACTCTTGTCACTGCCAAGACGGTTTGAAGTGAACTTTTACAAAAGTTCGTTGCTTTCGAATAGTAGCCCTGAGAAGGCTAGTAACCGAAAGGAGTTTAAGAGTTTACACTCTTGTCACTGCCAAGACGGTTTGAATTGAACTTTTACAAAAGTTCATTAGCTTTCGAACGATAGCCTTGAAAAGGCTGGGGACCGAAAAGAATTTCAGAGTTCGCACTCTGCAATTGACAAGACGGTTAGCCTCGATCTTTAGCAAAAGTTCGAGGTCTTTCGAAATCCTACGTGAGGTGGTCCTGAAAAGGACCGAGGTCGAGTTGGCAAGTTCCAATTTGTTAGTTGGCGAGTGATGTGGTGAATGGTCATCGAGATCTGATGTTGTTCCGGAGTCGACTCAGCAACGGGGGGCTGGAAATCCCGTCGAGCTCGTAGACTTGGCTGCGGTGACTCTGCGATGAATCTGACTTGGCCTTGCTGGTCAGTTGCGGCCGGAAAGTCCAGGCTGCACTCGCTGAATGTGAAAAATCGAGGCTCGAAGTGGCCGGTACTTAAGCCCTGGCGGGGATAAGTAGCTTGTGGGTGCCGGCGCCGCGCCACCTAGCGGTCGTTAGTGAAGCTTCTCAACGCAAGAAGTGGGAAGGAGGCTTGGAGAGGAGCGAGAAATAATAAGATTGAGCATTTTTATACAACTCAGGTTTATTAACGTTCCCTAGGCCAAGCTCTCGTGGGCGAGCGAGATCCGACTCCGGAAAGTCCAGGAGTGGAACTGCGTGCCGAATCGAATCGGCGCTGCTTTTTATACGAGCCGGCAGCGGCTAAGTGGCGGAGTGGGGATACGCACGCAGGAGTCTCGTGCCGTTGGCGTATATCACATCTTAGACGATCGAGTCGAAAATCAACTCCCATACTTTGCGCAGAGACGTTAACAACAGTCATTTTTTGTACTGTGCATTTACATATGAAAAATTCAGAGTTTTATTTGCTTGAATAAAATCAATGATAACTCTTTTCTTTAAGATTATATTGTTGCTTTATGATGCAGTGTACTACAGTTGTGACGAGGCACAAGTTCGTGAGCCTGAACGTCGCAGCTGACCGCAGGCAGCCCGTACACCGGCGAAACGTGGTGGCACATTTCGTCACGAAAACGTATAAACGAATGAGATTTTCGAGTGTTTTTCGATTTCGATTAGATTAGGTTTCAGGCTAAGAAGAAGTCGAGCTGAAATGACATCGAGTGCTCGACACCGAGGCCAAATCATAAGCAGCGTCCCGAGTTACGACAAGCCTAGGCCGAGCCGACACAAAATCAGACTGCACAACAACATCTGTATAGCAATCTACTGCGTTGTGACCAAGCAAGCCACGGCACCAGGCAGATAACCACGAGCCGAGCAAGTGTGTGTTCCCGTGTTGATTTTTACGTTTCTCGTCAGCCGCGCTGCCGAGCGATGTAGGTGAACGCTGATGCGTCAAAAGGAACAAAAGGAACACGTGAGGTGATTTGTTCGATGACAAATTACGCTCGTTTAGCTACAGAGACCTTTGTATTTCGATAGGCTACTAGAGCATCTTCAAATGCAGGTTGCTAAGCAACCAATGGTTTTGCTTTTTAAATTGTTTTTTCTAATTTAAAAAAAAATAAAATATTTTAAAATTTTTTCAATAAAATATATTTTTTCCAACTACTTTTCGCCTTTTTAATTTCCTTCTCGACAAATTACGACAGATACGACTGCTCTCTCCAAAAAACGCTTTTTTCTGCCATTCCGCGGCGCCAGTAGTTATGCATATAGCGAATACGCAACTTCGCGACCGCTGGCCACGTGACTACAAGTCGACGACCAGGTACGAGCGCGTCGGCCGGTCTCGTTCGACCACGCGCACTGCGCGGCGGCCATCTTGGCCAAATAGAGTACGCCACGTACGTAACCTGCTACTGCGTAGCAAAGACGCTACCACCGAAAGCGAAACGAGTACGCCAGCAGTACACCTGGTGGCCAAATTTTGAAAGTTCAATATGTGGAATATAGGAATTTAGAAACGTAAACACAACACTTAAATAAGAACAATCTTTATTGTGCGTTAGATATACATGGGACGTGCGGCTGCCCAGAGTCTCGGAGCTCAACTGACACGTGTGGCACGGCTCCAGACGGCACAGTGTCTGTTCGCGTCCCGAGGCTCGATATACAATATATTACAATTTTCTCCGCTGTTTTAATTGCGCTAACCGCGCCGAGCGCCTAGTCTTCGGGATTTCTGCATCAACCAGTTTATTGGTGTGACGCTTACAAGTTTTTCTTGGCGCAACATTGACCGCGTATGAAGCGGGCGAGAGCTGCTGCTCGATAACCCCGTGTATACTTTTCTACGGCGTTACGTCGTAATTTTCGACGCTTACTTTTTGACCCTGCCGAAAAACAACATTTCTTGCGCCCGGGTAGCATTCGCGCTGGACCTGTTGCTTTTCTTCGACGTATTGTTGTGTCGGTATTGGTCGTAGTACATCGAATCTCGTGCGCAACTCGCGGTTATACATCAAGGCTGCTGGGCGTTTACCTGTGGTGCTGTGCGCGCAGCTACGATAGTCAAACAAACACAAGTTGATCGCGTCTTCCAGCGTTTCTCCCCCTTTCATGATTTTGTCCACTTTATGCTTGAAGGTGCGCACGAAATTTTCAGCTGCCCCATTTGTAGCTGGATTGTATGGGGATGAAAAAGAGTGACTTACCTTGTTAGCTTTTAAAAAAGTCGCAAATTCGACGCTTGCGAACTGGGGTCCGTTATCCGGTACAACATGCTTTGGGAGCCCGAATCGTGAAAATAATTTTTTACATTCCTCAATTACTCTATACGTCTTGGTGTTATTTTTGAAATTAATAATCTCCGGCCATTTTGTATGCGCGTCCACCACTACCAGATACATGTTACCTTCGAACGGCCCTAAAAAATCGATGTGTATTCGTGACCATGCTCGTTCAGGCCGCAGCCACGTAGTTAGCTCCGCTTTGCCCGGTTTGTTTTGCATGTCGCTACATATATTACATTCTTTAACAATTCTTTCGATGTCTTCGTCGATGTTAGGCCACCACACATATGACCGCGCAAACATTTTAATCTTTACTACACCTAGATGCGATGCATGTAGCTCACGCAAGATAGTTGGCCTAAGTTTTTTTGGAATAATTATTCTGATCCCCCAAAACAAACAATTGCTTTCCAAGGACAGCTCATCTTTTTTAGCTTTAAAACTGCGTAATTGCGTATCGGTCTCATTAGGCCAACCATCATTTACATATAGCGCGACTTGCTTAGTATTGGGTCACGCTTTGTTTCGCTTTGAATCCGCTTGTTATCGATCTCATGCATACCGCTCTCTACGTAGTAAACCGGCGTAAAATCTCCGCCAAACGATTCGGCTTTATCGTCTACGGGCAGTCGCGACAGTGCGTCGCAGTTGCCGTTTTCTGTTGATTTTATATACTCTATCGTGTATCTGAACCCCGATAAAAAATACGCCCATCTTTGCTGTCTGCTTGCTGCTGTAAGTGGTATGCCTTTCTTTGGCCCGAATATATACTTTAGCGGCTTATTATCCGTACGTAAAACGATTTTCCTTCCATACACGAAATCATAGAGCCGAATGAATGCGAAAACTATTGCGCTCACTTCCTTGTCTATAATCGCTTGGTTAATTTTTTTTTTGGGGGATTTTTTTGGAAGCGTACGCTATCAGTCTTTTGGTGCCGTCATCGTAAACATGTGACAGCACTGCTGCTAACGCGTACGCCGACGCATCGCAAGCCAGAACAAGTTTCCTGTTTGGGTCGTAGTGGGTTAGGACTCGCGGTGATACGAGTTCTGTTTTGACCCACTTAAACGCTTTCTCGCATTCGTCGTTCCATTCGAATTTTTTCTTGTTCGCGCACTCGTATAGTGATTTTAAATTAGCCGATCTATTGGTTAAGAAACGCGAATAGAAGTTTATTAAGCCTAGAAATGATAGTACTTCTTTAGTCGTGGTCGGCCTGAGAGCTTCTACCATGGCCCTGACTTTTTCTATAGACTTGTGCAACCCTCTTTCATCGATAACGAATCCTAATAAGTCAATTTTGTTTTTCATGAATTCCGTTTATTCTATATTTAGTCGTAAATTACAATCTGCCAATCGCTGGCATACCTGTTCTAGTCTCTGCATATGTTCGTCATCATTGCGGCTTGTCACGTAAATATTGTCTAAATATGCTATGGCCCCCGGCACGCCTGTGAGGCATTCATCTATTTTTTGTTGAAATATCTCCGGACATGACGCTACCCACCCCTTCTCCCATTTTCGTATACTGCAATAGTCCCACATGTGTTGTTATTGTTAGTAATTTGCGGCATTCTTTTTCCACCTCGAATTTCATGTACGCGTGCGATAAGTCTAGTTGTGAAAAGAGTTTTCCCCCTTGCAGCCTCGCGAAAATGTCGTCGATTGTATGTAGAGGATAATTATTAATAATCATGTGGGGGTTAATCGTTAATTTAAAATCTCCACAAATTCGAACTTTTCCATTACTTTTTACGATGGGTACTATCGGGGTGGCCTATTCACTCGCTTCCACGCGTTCTAGGTGTCCTAGTGTAATTAATCGCTGTATTTCTTCCTCGACCTGCGGCTTGAGGGTGTATGGTACATGCCTCGATTTTAATGCTATCGGTTTAGCATTATTTCGCAAGTGAAATTTTACAGTGCTTTTGTTGTACAATCCCGGGGATGTATCAAATAATAATTTGTACTTAGTCGTTAGGTATTCTTGAATGTTTGTTGAATTTTACATAACAATTTCTCCAGTGGCCAACAATTCAATGATTTGAGCCACTGTCTCCCGATAAGCGGTGGCCCGGTGCCCGGTATAACATAACAATGTAGTCGCCGTGTTTCGCCGTATAATGATACCTTAATATTAGGAAGCTCTCCCGAAATTTTGAACGTTCGTTCGTCGTATCCGCGTAATATGGCGTTGGTTTTATACATTGGATGCTTAAAGAAAAATTCCGCTTTGAAATTTTCGGAGATAACAATATAGTAGGTACCGGTATCAATTTCCATCGCGATCGACTTATCGTTAAGTAACACGTCGAGGAATGCGGGTTCCGCTTTGTCGGTCGCGCTTGTTTGCTTACTTCCGGCTACTATTGTGAAGAAATCTTCGTGGTAATAGACGCGCTTTGACGACCCTGCTGCGCTGCTGGTTGTCATTGACTCGTCCTCGCTGCTATCTTGACCCGATGTCTCTCGTTCGGCTTGGCTCTGCTCCTCGATGTATTTGACCTCCGGCTTGCTTCTGCACGCTGCTTTTATATGACCTTGTTTTCCGCAGCTGTTACATTTTGCATTTTTGAACCTGCACTCGGATGCCTTATAGTTGCTTCGATTGCATCTATAACACTTGGCTTGCGTGTTTTTGTCACTGTTTGCTTTCCGTTAAGAGTTCTTATCTGCTGATTGGAATTTATATACCTCCGCATGCGGTTTTGTTCCATAACTTCCGCTAGACTTCAAGGCGTTCTTCACCGCGTTTTCTCGGGCTTGCGCTTCTTTGAGTGCTGCTTCGAACGTGAGTTTTTCTACCTTGAACAAGGCTACTCGAGTTTCATGATCTCGAATGCCACACACAAACTGGTCTCTGCAAGCAGTTGCTAAGTCGGTGTAGTTGCAGTGCAACGATACTTTTTTTAATCGCGCCGCAAATTCTGACACACTTTCCTGAATTTCTTGACGCGCCTGGTGAAAAGTCCATCGCTCCATGACCTCTGACGGGTTTGGTGTGAGATGCTTATCCATTAAATCTCGTAATTCTTCATAGCTTTGATCTGTAGGTTTCTTTGGCGCACCTAGATTTCTTATAAGTTTGAAAGCATCTTCGTCAAGTCTCCTCAGCAATATTGCTGCTTTCTTTTCATCCTTCGTGTCTTTGGCTTTGAACAATATTTCAAGCCTGTCAATGAATATTTCCCAGTCGTCTTTTCCAAGTACGAACTCCAGCTTTGCTCCTTCTGCGCTAGACATATCTGACTCTTCGTCGCTTTCGCTGCTGCTATGACTGCCCGTGCTCGAGCTTTCGAGTTCTTTTTTGTTTCCTCTTCCGGATTCGATGCGTTATTTCGCAGCACTGACACTAGAATCTTTCTGAGTTCGTCTAATTTAGCATTAGAGTCGACTTCTTGCTCCCTCGCACGCAACTCCGCTAGTACTTGCTCCTTATTCAAATTGTATACCCTACCAACTTTAACTTTGGTAATGTCTGTGTCGGTCTTACCGTGATCACTCATGAGCACCACACCTGTGCAATATTGCCACTCGCGGGAGTCCTCGTCGCCACTGTGGAATATAGGAATTTAGAAACGTAAACACAACACTTAAATAGGAGCAATCTTTATTGTGCGTTAGGTACATGGGACGTGCGGCTGCCCAGAGTCTCGGAGCTCAACTGAACCGTGTGGCACGGCTCCAGACGGCGCAGTGCCTGTTCGCGTCCCGAGGCTCTGTATACAATATATTACACAATAAAGTGACTTTTTTTAGAAACTTGATCTAGCGAGTAATCATTTTTGATTGTTGTACAGTAAATTGCTCTATTAAATAGAGGATTTCCTCGGCTAAAATTGAAAGGTGAGTCACCTAGGCCCAAAAGCTCGGCCCAGACTCGGTGGAAGGCCCAGCACATTTTCAGAAAGGTAAGTAGACGTACAAGAGGTCCCGACGTAAAAATTATCAAAAAATTATGAAAAATTGTCAAAAAAGTTATTTTTCCAATTTTTCAGGGCCCAAACATATATTTTTTATGTAGTTAATTTAGAGGGTCTCAAAACTGTGCTTATCATTATTGAAACATCACGCGGAAATAAATTGGTGTATGCTTTTCATAAAACACAGAAATAAACAAATTTTTTTACGAATACGATATACACATTAAAAATAGATTTTGAAAAATAACGATTAAGAATTTTTAATTTCAATACCTTTTAGATATGATTCTTTATCTTCAGATAAGTTTTTATCCACCTCCTGTAAATTATAAATAACTATATGAATTTTATATTTTATCGACAAGGTGCTACCGCATTTTTTAAAATTAAAGGTGATATTTAAATTTTTAGCATCAAACAGAAATTTTCATTTAAATTAACATATAAATGTGTAACTATTCGTTAACAGCGTCAATATATACAAAATACAACCGCTGAGAATGCACATGCAACGGGGACATTCATAGTTTTGGTAATGTATCATTTATTTAGCTAAAACTCAAAAATATTAGAGTACTCGAGATTGTCTCTGGGCAGCGCAGTTCCCGCTAATGCGAAAACTGTTAACACTGTTTACCGCTCCGCGAGAACGCAATAACAGCAAATCAATCGCCACAGTCGTGTCGATTACACTATGGAGAGTATTAATCGGTGCGATTTAACAATTACTGAGTCGATCATCACACCCTAAGTAAATTATGATTTTACGCAAAGTGTAAATAATCGCGAATTGACCAAATATCGAATGTTGAATTCGGTAATACTGAGCAACAAGAAATACGAATGTGACTGAATGAGAAGAGTAATAATAATAATTAATAATGATTATTAATAATCGTGTGCCCGCCTTTTATAGCTGTAATTCGCGGCATCTAATGAGCTGTGTTTTTTTTCGCGACATGCAATGTGCTGTGTTTTTTTTCATGGCATTAAATGAGGTGTGTTTTTTCTTCGCAGCGCTCCGATGAGGTGTGTTTTTACTTGTAAGCAACGGCGATATATAAGAGTTCAACGCCCAATAGAAATATAAGTTCAAGCTCGTCACAAGCAAGATGAGGCTAGTTTTGAGGTTAGGTTCGTACAAGGTTTCCTTCAGGATTATGTTTCTGAAAACGTTTCTCAAAGTATTTACTATAGAGTCTCTGGCCAGTTGTAGACTGCCGTTGGTGCACAAAAAAACATGGTTTTTAGACGTTCATAAACCACTTTTTTTCTTCTTTCTCTCGCTATAAAATAGCTATTCTAAAGTACAATTCCTTTCTCTTTAGAACTAGAATATTTGAAAAAATTTTAAAAACACGCTCTTTGAGATATTCGACTTTTTCTCAACGATTTTTCTAAGAAAAGTGGAAAATGTTCGAAAATTTGTCCCCCACTATCGGAAATTTGAAGTGACTTTTATGTTTTATTGCTTTTATCTTTTATCGCTAGAAATTTTTATCGCTCAAAAATCACCACTCTTATCCATAAAGATGCTTTTTGGCGTGGAAAAAAATACTTACCGCAGATGAATACTTTTCGAACCAAGCCTGCCAAGTATCTATCCTTTGCTTCTGAAGATGATAAGGTATCATGAATTCTTTTGAATTATTTTTCATTATTAACATTGCTCAGTTCTCTGTGGAATAGAAAATAAAAAGTGTTTTTAAGAACTCTGAGGTATCTTCAATTTGAAAAACATAAAAACTTAATTAATTCAGTGAGAAAAACTGAAATAGAGAATATTACTTTTCCTACCCAAAATTCAAAGTATTTTAACGCTAGAATATATAAAATAATATTAAATAATGAATTTGTAAAATAACTATTTAGCAAAATTTTGAATAATTACACAGCCACACAAAAAAATGTTCGAGTCTACTGACCAGACCTAGTGGACTGTATGTTTTTGGAGTCGCTGAATCTGAATCCAGGGTCGGTTTCAAGATCATTTGAAGGTTAAATAAAGGTACAGTGGTACAAAATCTGAAAAATTCATACATTGGTTTTTGAGGATGCTAAATGCAAATCTGAAGTCAGATGACCTTCAGGAGGTCACCCTCAAGAACATATAAAGGACAAACTAAGAGAATTCAATATTAATATCCGAAAAAAATCACATCAATAATTGAGGGTCGCTGAATCATAATTCGAGGTTATTTTGACAATATCTGGATATACAGAGGTCATTTGAAAGTCATTTGAAGATCAGATCATAAAATAAGGTGAATAAAAAAAGAAAAAACTCATAAGTAGGTTCTTGAGGATGCCAAATCTAAATCGATAGTCAGATGACCTATATGGAGTCACCTTCAAGGTCATTGAAAAGGTTAAATTAATGGAAAGAAGTAAAAAATTAAGAAAATATTTTTAATTTTGCATGCATTTTTACTTTTTTTTTGTAACGCATTTTTTTTTCTTCAAACGATCGGCGTAATGTATGCTATTTGCGTTTTTTATCTTTTTTATTTTGCATCTCTATATCTCTCTTCATGATCCAGTGGTAATCGATCATCATCGCAACATTCCATCTATCTTGATACTACTGCTCCATACTGTTTATGTCCTGATGGAATCGTTCTCCAAGCTCGTTGCTAAAATCTAATAAAAAATAAGTCGCTACAGTTTTTCGGGAACTAATCTGAATGGTTATGCAAGAAATGCAGTTTTTGAATACAGAAATGCAGAAATGTTGAAAAATAACAATTTTCTGGTTAAGATGACTGCGATTCAAATAACTGCATGGTTTAGCTTCAAAAAGTTTGTAGAAAAAATATTCTAGGTAATTATAGAAGGCATACAAAATTTTAATATCAACGATGATAAAAAATTTCAGTGAAATAGGATGTAATATGTCTCATAAACTACATTCCTCGCATAACAATTCTGATAAGTTCCCGAAAAACTGTAACGTTTCAACGACGAGCATGGAGAACGATTCCATCAAGACATAAAAAGTATGGAGCAGTGACATCAAAGTAGATGGGATGTTGGGATGATGGCCGATTACTTCAAATGACCTTGAAGGTCACCCCATGAAGGTCATCTAACACTTGGACTTCGATTTAGCATTCTCCAAACTCATGTTTCAATTTTTTCAGATTTTATTTTATTTTATTTTATTTCAGATTTTTGTTATTCACAAGTACTATTTAATTTTTATATTGCATTGTCTCAATAAGTAAAGTTTGGGCAAAGATTCTGTGCACCACAAAGAATATTGTGCGCCGCAAAGGGCAACAGCAAGCCTTGAGCAGCATTGTGACAGAATTTTTTCGATGTTCGTTTATAGGGAAGAAAATTATATTTTTGGCAATAATAAAAGTACCCAAACTAAGATAAAAACTCTAACTATCATTAGGCATATTGGGTATTGTGTTTCAAATTATAGATTTTTTATACTAGTCGAAAATTCCTTAAGTTCGCCATCATAGGGGGTTCTCCCCTAAGCTAATTTTCGAGAATTAAACTATTGAAAATTGACTTTTTAACACGGCGTATATGGGAGCAAATCTACTTTTGGACACTATTTATTGGATATCTTGAAAAATATATCATGCAGCTTTTCAAGAAACTGCAGACTTACAGTTGAACATTTAATCTTTCAATTGGTTAAATAAAAAATACATGTTGCGTTTCATGCCTTCATTTAAATGAACGATACTTTCAAACAAACTTGATTTTCAATTATGTTTGAAAGATTCAACGACGTTCGAGAGATTTAACGATGTAGTTACCCCTGTGTTCGCTAGATGGCACAGTTTTCAGAGAGAAAAGCTTGCTCTCTGCCCGTGCGCTCGTGCCGTGGTGCTTCGTACCTCTTTTCTGTGCGCAAGAGTTCGGACGTGTTTCGCACAGCATACGTATAACCTGTATTACTGAACTTGGAAATGGGTAAACGTAAATCCGAAGTAACCGTTGACGAGATAGAGAAGAAGATGCAGAAGCTACAGGAGCAAATCGACATTCTGCGTCGAGATCGAGACTTGAATGAAAATGAGAGCGAGGACAGCAGCGCGGAGAGTGATCCTGAGGATGACGGGAATGATAAAGAAAACGGTAAGCGTGCCTTGAAAGGCGTTTCGTTGAAGCACGTACGTGCAACTGCGTCACTGCATTACATACACGATAAGTACTTTATCATAGCGAAATGTAACTCGCGTACAATATACGCATAAGACAACGTAAGGTAAACTACCCAGTCGCTGGACAGTTAGTAGCGGCGTGGCGGAATATTGATGTTTTGAGTCTCCTAGTGAGCATATAGACATGAATGAATACCCATAATGGATAATTTATGTCTTAATCAATCGTTTAAAACCACTTATATTAACTTTTGAGCAGTAGTTTATGAGAAATTAGAATGAAAAGATAAACTCTTCGTGAGCCTATAACTGGACATGCAAAATGCGACTTATGCCTCTGTCCCGAATTTATAAGCCCAGTAGCTGGACAGCATAGATCGAGACGCGTCACGCGCTCGACTTGTCGCATCACACGAGTCCGCACATATATAGGGGTAAGGCTCAGAATTTTTTAAATAAACCTGCGCTCGTATGTCACCGGTTTTGGGACCTTTTTACCATGTACTATAACATACCAAAAGCGCGTCAAGATCGGTGACATACGAGCGCAGGTTTATTTAAAAAATTCTGAGCCTTACCCATAGGTAATAGGTTAGGCCTGGTGTCCCGCTACCGGACAAGAGTCAATTTTTCCATGCCGAAAGATGGACACTGACAATTTGAAAAAGTAATAATTTTTATTTTTATTTTTTCAATTTTTATTGAATTGAGAATTGTTTATAGATTCTAAAAAACTTTACTTTGAATCAAACAAATGAATATCAAGTGAGTAATAGTCTAAAGACTGAAGTGTCAATTCCTTAAGGAAAGCAGTAAGGCCAACATGGCAGCCGCTTCGGCAATCGTCTGACCTATCTATCATAGATATTTTATGTAAGAATAAAGAATTTTTCACGTATTCAAGTGTAAGTTATCAATGTAATAGGGTCTTAGGTTGATTTCTAAATTATCATAATCATGAAAAAGGTCATATAATCTTATTTTCAGAATATTTTTGATAAGATGTCTAGAATTCGGTCGTGTCCAGTATTGGGGACGTTTACCTTACAAGATACGCTAATAACCTCCAAGCGAGGGACACTGCGTACAAGATACGCCTATAGTCTCGAAGAGAGGCTCATCGCGTACAAGTTATGCGTAATGCAAGGCTATAGCCGAAATGCCAGAAACGTGCAAAACTTGTTAATAACCTCCAAGAGAGGCTCATTGGGTACAAAAAAAGCGTACCCAGAACGCAAAACGTCGTTCGCGACAGCACATACAAGCTATGTGATCACCTTTGCAGACAAAGTTTCCGATCACGGAACACATACGTTATAATAATGAGTTGTATATATGACACACGGACACAAAAAATGCGCATAAGGTAACTGTATGTTTTGTGTCTAAATCAGGTAACACTGGGAGACAGGAGAAGGTCGAGGAAAACTCAAAAACAACATCTAGCAGAATCGATGCTATGGGCTAAGACCCAACAATCTTCGACAAGATCGACGTACCTATTATGAGTAGTACGTACCTAATGAGCATATGGAAAAACTGTGGAACATTTGGACACACGAGGGACTTGATTATACAACCTTCGAATTTTTACTTGAGCAATATAAGCTGCCTGAATTCATTGTCACGCCGGAAATAAATCCGGAAATAACAGAAGTCATGGAAGCGAATGCCACCAGACGCAACAAATTTATGAAACAAGCGCAAGACTTGACCGCTAACACTATTATTACCACTGGCTCATCCTTAGTGGTGTTGATGGATGATGATGAAATGGTGGACCAGCAACATCACAAAGATTTCCAAGTCCCTTGGAAAAATTGTGTACCATGCAACCCTCTTCTCGGATGCCTCAAAATTCGGCTGGGGATTTAAAACGCCCTTTTAAAGTTTGCTGCGGATAAGCTCAATGTAAATATTCTGCTGAGAGTTTACAACACCACTGCTTTACCCTATATTAATAAGATGGGGGCATACAACACCCTAGGTTGCTCTACTTATCGGGCAAAATATGGCAGTGGTCAGAAAGAAGGAACATATATTTGTTCGCAAGCTACATAAAATCGAGCGAAAACATTGAGGCAGATTATCCATCTAGAATAAACCCGGACACTGAATGGAGCCTATCGAACATGGCTTTTAAAAATATCACTTACGTACTTGGCCAGTCAGAAATGGACTTATTTGCTACAAAACAAAACGCGAAGTGCAAAGTCTATGTTTCAAGATTCCCAGAAATCGACGCAGTCGAAGTCGACGCGTTCCCTTTCTCGTGGGGGGAGAAAGAAATTTTATGCTTTTCCTCCGTTCGCAATCATTCTCAAGACATTGCGAACAATTGAAGAAGACGGAGCCATGGTCATTTTGGTGGTGCCAGATTGGCCCAACCAATCCTGGTACCCTCTATTTCATAAAATGCTCATAAAAGCATCCATGTTTTTAAACAATAATTATGTTGCAATTTGTCCTTCTAGGGGGATGCGAATACCTGCCACGAGTTTGATTGCGGGGCTAGTCTCCGCAAGGTGTACGAGCTAAAAGACGTTCCGCACGA